TACATCTAAGCGCTCCCTCTTCTTTGCTTCCAAATATGCCTTCCTTTGGAATAATCTTCCGCCCGAAATTAGATTATCGCCTAAGTTACTGGTATTCAAGTCGAAATTACGCAAATATCTTACACCGGAAAGCATAAAGGCACTGTTAACGGTCTCATTCCCAAACACTCAGATTCTTGACTTAGAGAAGGGTCCTCCTGGGATTTAGTGATAGATTAAGTGGTAACTCTTAATTATATCATTAGAAACCCCTGTTTTGAATTGGTTTCTAAATCCATCGATATCCTTCCCCCCATAGCGACAATTTTCGCGGTTTTTGATGTCATCTCCCGCATTCCGACCTCATGCGGTCTGTCGACACTCACGGCGAAACCCTCAGTATTCACTGTCTACTAGTAGTTCGGTCGTACCTCCCTTCCTCACTGCTCGGCTGAGCTCGAAGCGTGCTGTGGCCGATCGCATCTCGATTCCGCTCGTCTGGCCTCTTTGACGCGGCGTACCAATCCGGCCCAGACGATCTCAATTGTGAATCCCGTATACAATGCCATATGCAAGCCAGTTCTGTCTGACCCACATTCGTACCCATCAAGGCGGACATTTATTGATACCCTGACGATGACCGACAACATTCCGTTATATACCGCCACCTACAGGCCAGTCCTGCTCGCTTTTTTCTGTTATTATTTTTATGGAGTGGTTTTTTTTTCTCCTGTAATATTAATCAAATCATTTTTAACTTTTTTTAAGGAGTTTTTTTTCACCCCTCAATCATCATGTTTCTCATTGGACTACTAATTTAGAAACTAGGAATTGCATTTTGTAAAGATTCGGCCTACCTCGTCTAAAACTCGCATGCAAATTTATTTTAAATTGCTTTGATGGGACACCGACGGGTCTTTAATAAAAATTATCTATCTATCTACAAGACATAGAAGAACAAACTGAGGAACCTGATCATGAAGACAGATAGATAGATAAATAATTTTTTATTAAAGACCCATCGGGGTCCCATCAAAGCAAGTTAAAATAAATTCACATGGGAGTTTTAGACGACGTAGGCAGAATCTTTACAAAATGCAATTCATAGTTTCTGAATTAGTAGTCCATTGAGGACCATGATTAGTGAGGGGTGAAAAAAACTCATACGAATGTTAAAAAAGATTGGATTAATTTTACAGAAGAAAAAAACCCCTCAATAAAAATAATGACAGAAAAAAGCGAGCAGGACTGGCCTGTAGGTGGCGGTATATAGCGGATTTTTGTCGGTCATCGTCAGGGTAGCAATAAATGTCAGCCTTGAGGAGTACGTATGCGGGTCAGACAGGACAGGCCTGCATGTGGTATTATATACGGGATTCACAATTGACACCACTTGATCTACCACTAAATAAATAAATTATAAATAAATAAATTTTAATTTAATGCCATTTTACAGGCATTGTCAAGGGAAGCGATTAAACACAAATCCGACCAGCAGTGAAAAAAAACTCCTGAGCTTAAGGCATAAAAATATAGTTGATGGTGGTTTTTGTGGTTTGGAGGGCTCAG